CGAGGTCGGGGCAGGGCGCAGCGCCGTCCACAGCCCCGCAGTTAGAGCGATGGACCTTCCGTGCCTTCCTTCCTACTCAGAAGGCAGTTGTTTTCCCTGGGATTAGACACAACAGTCAACAGGGCAAATACCCGGCCACTGCCCTGCCTCTCTTCCTAGCCGGTGCGTTCAGGTGGACCCTCGCTGTGGCCGGGTGGTCAGCCCCGGTGGAAGAGCACCTAGGCTGTCCTTGCAGCTGCTCTGTAGCAGGAAATTATATTGAAACGTGAGCAGGAAAGTCGTCGTGGGTAGTCCTGGGGGTTATGAATGCTGGATTAAAAAGATGGAGACAGTTCTAGCAATGAAAGGAAATTCCGAGCAATGTGAAACTGATGTCGAGCTGAATCCACGCCTCTGCACACTGTGGTGGAGCTGTTAGATCGGGTGACGTCGGTGACGTCGGTGAGGGGCCTGTGCTTTGAGAGAAGTGTGTGCTCCGTGGGCCTGAGGGTGCGGAGTGGTTAAGATAACTGCGCCATCACGTCCGGAGCTGCTGGTCTTCACGTTCAGAAATGTGAGAACCCACAAAAACTTTAAGCTCCTTTTAGGGGAAAAAGTACCAGAAGTCCATTTTGCTCATTGTACACGTAGATACCACTTTTTTTCCTTTTGGTTGGTAGAGACTCAGAAGAAGATGTACGCAGCTCATGTTGCAGGGGGACGGGCGGCTGCAGAGTTAGTATTCGGTCGGAGTGTTCTCTGCCGCCGCTGCAGGCCCTCCCACTGGCAGCCCCCTATGCAGTCGTGCATGCACAACTTGAAGGAAGCCTTTCCAGTGTTGCTCTAGCCCACTGAATAAGTGGAAGCAATTTGAAAATATTTTCAAATTTGAAATTTTCTTCTGCATTTGACTCACTCGTAATGTCATTAACCATGGAGCAGAGGTGGTGCCACGCTCTTCGGTGGCATTCAAGCCCACTGCCAGGTCTGGCTGGCCACGCCTCTGCCCGCCTGCACCATGGGGTGAGCTTCACCAGGGCAGAGGGTGTGCGTGTTTCCTCCTCACGGCCCGCCTCTAGCAGAGCACGTGTGCAGTCATTCCTCAGCAGGTGTGGGTGATGGCGTCTCGTGAAATGGTTTCCATGAGCATGTAGTTTAGAAATACCGAATGTTTTTAAAGAATTGTTTTATTTGTTATGATTATGATTATGATTATTAATTATTAATTTGACCAGAGAGAGCGAGAAAGGGAACGTGAGAAAGGAAGCTGCCAGGTCTGGGACTCGAACCGTGGTCAGCGGGAGTCCAGCACCTTCATCACTGCATCACCCGCTAGCCCCAAAAATATAAAAAAAAAATTTAGGAGAGATTTTTGCTAGAGGGCATGAACCCTCGCCAGAGAGACAGAAAGTGAGAAATCACCCCCAGGGGGGTAGCCACCCTGCAGTCTCTCCTCCTCCACTCTCCTCTTGGATCTTGAGCACATATGAACATGCACCTGGCGTGAGTTTTAAGCTGCCAGGTCTGGGACTTGAGCCCCAGTCAACTGTGGGAGTGCCGCGACGTAACTGTCACACCACCCACTAGTCCCATGCAAAGTACTTTAAGTTGTGATTGTTGAGTACAAAGAGACATAGCTAGTTCCTGCCTTTAAGGATATTTTTATTACGTATGATTTCACTAAAGTTTTTCTCTCTTTCTCTTATTATTTTACAGTTAATCACTGTATCTCATTACAGCACACAAAATGAGCTTCCCAGCGTGAATACACTGCGTATTACAGTCAGTTACTGCCATACACACGGTCATCAGCAGGTCATTTTCCATTTCTGTGTCCCTTCAATCTTTTACTTCTTTCCTTCCCCCTTAGCTCCCTCCCTCACCCTCCCCACTCCCCACACTCCTCCCCCCTGCCCCCAGTACCCCCCCCCCCCCCCCCCTGCCCCCAGTACCCACGGTTCTCCTCCCACCTGCCCCCAGTACCCACGGTTCTCCTCCCACCTGCCCCCAGTACCCACGGTTCTCCTCCCCCCTGCCCCCAGTACCCACGGTTGCTCTCCCTGTCTTTACACCTTCCAGTCTTTCAGGTTTTGCCGTAGAGTGCGGACATTCAGTGTACATATGTGTGTGTACGTGCATATGCATGTATACATATGTGTGTGTGTGTGTACTACTTTTTTTAGAGAGGTTTATGCTATAGGGTGCATGTACTCACCATAGAAACACAGAAAGACAGAAAGTGAGGAATTACCGCCCAGGGGGGATGGCCACACACAGTTCCTTGTTCTCCAATCTCAGGATTTTGGGCATGCATGCACACGTGCCCAGTATAAGTTTTAAGCCACTGGATTGGGACTTGAACCACAGTCGACCAGGTCTGGGACTGAGAGTCCAGTGGCATAACCATTACACCATCTGCTGGTCCCAGCATTTGGTATTTACTAAGTCACAGTAAGACCCTGGCATTTGGTAAAGTAGAAGACTTACTGCTAAGTGAAGCATGTCAGACTATGGAAGAGGCATTATGTGTCTCTGAGGATTTTTAAATCTCGGTATTTATTATTCAAGAACATATTGGTCTCCTGGACTATAAGAGAGGTTTTTTTTTTTTTTTTTTTTTTTTTTTTTTTTTTGCTATAGGGCACGTGCGCTTGCCAGACAGAGAGAGACAGAGAGACAGAAAGCAAGAAATCACCTCCCAGGGGGGCCCAGGGGGGATGGTCATGCCACAATCCCTTCTCCTCCATTCTCCTCTTGGGATCTTGGGCACACGTGCACATGCACCCGACGAGTTTTAAGCCACCGGATCCGGGACTCGAACTGTGGTCGACTACGTGGGAGTCCAGCAACATAGCCATGACGCTAACTGCTGGTCCCAGGACTATAAGAGATCTTTATAGTTTATAGCAAACAAAGCAAAATGCTCTCCTTCCTAAATTTTGGCCGTCGAAAGTCGGCCCTGATCTATAGGAGTGGCTGGCTCAGGGTCCGCGCCTCTGAAGGCAGTAGCCAGGTGTGAGAAAATTCCCTGTGGCCTGCCAAGGCCACGTTTGAGAGGTCTCTAGAGGAGGGGCACCCACCGGGGCATGTCATGTGGCAACTCCTCTTCCTCCATTTTTCCATCCTGTTGTGACTTGGAGCAGCCCTGCCCCCATCGCGTGTTTCTCAAGCTGCTGGAGCTGGGACTCAAACCACCTGGGATCTGGGCCCCCGCCCGGGCTCCTGGCCAGTCAGGGTCCCCATCTCCCTCTTGCTGTGCGCTGTCATTTAGGAGGAAGGCTGGTGCTGCCTGCTGAGAACAGGCTTCTCATCCTCCTTCCTGATTTCCCTTTCCACCAATTTCCATATCTAAGTGGAAAAGGGATGAGCCGTTTTAACTGTTTTGTAGTCAGTGTTCACAGGGTAAAATGGATCTTTTTTCAACTGCTATCAAATACCCTTAGGGACCAGCAGTTAGCGTAATGGCTATGTCGCTGGACTCCCACATAGTCGACCATGGTTCAAGTCCCGGACCCGGCGGCTTAAACTCACACCAGACGCGTGTGCGTGCGTGCCCAAGATCCCGAGAGGAGAATGGAGGAGAAGGGATTGCGGCGTGGGGTTGATTTCTGGCTTTCTGTCTCTGTCTATCTCTCTGTCAATCACATGCCCTATAGCAAAAACCTCTCCAAAAAAAAAAAATGGTATAATTGAAAACTCCTTCTTACACCCTGCCTGTGTTACTGCCAGAGAAGCACACCCTCTCTGGTCAGACGCGTGCGTGAGAAGCGGGGTCCCTTCTGAAGGGACGTAAACAGCTTCTTTGCAGTCCATTGGTATAACTCACCTTTAGGAAATCTGAAAAAGAGAAAGCGCCTTTTTTCTGTAATTCTTGAGGTGTCAGTGGCCTAAAGCTCCCCGTTCTCATGGAGTCGCCGACCGGCTGCGTCCTGACCCTCGCTGGGCTCTCGGGGTGGGCACAGTCTCAGGACGCGGGCTCCTTTCAGCCCTGCCGCCCCGCGTGCTCCATGTCGGGTCACTTACTCTGTGCTCCCTTTCCTTTTTCTCTGCAGCCTGATGTATTTTCCTTCCGAGGTGCAGGGCTGAGCGTTTAATGTGCTTTCCGCATTGACCCTAACCTGGCAGAACCCCCAGTCCCTCAGTGTAGACCCTGACTGCAGCCTGGAGGCTGATTACACAGCATGATCTCCCATACAGAGTTCTGGAGGTTACGCCCCGTGGGAGATGGAGCAAGACGCTCTTGGTTCTGGTTTAGGCAGAGGGAGAGGAGCAGGAGCACCCTGGCGTCCAGTTGTGCCCCGCACCATCTGGCTGTGCCCTGTGCCGTCCAGGAGGTCTGTGCCATCCGGCTGTGCCCCGCACCGTCCAGCTGTGCCCTGTGCCGTCTGGAAGGCCTGCGTCATCCGGCTGTGCCCCGCACCGCCCGGCCGTGCTCTGTGCTGCCCAGCTGTGCCCCGCGCCGCCCGGCCATGCCCCACGCGATCTGGCTGTACCCCATGCCGCCCGGCCGTGCCCTGAACCATCTGGCTGTGCCTTGCCCACCTGCGTGCTGCACAGGGGCCGTCCGGCCCTGTCTTCCCTCTGTACAGACCAGGCGTGCCTGCGGCCTCAGCAGAGATGTGGGTCAGGTGGACCTGGCCTTCCTGCTTCTCCTCCCGGTCCCCCCAGCACTACAGTTTTGCACAGGCCTTTCACTGAGGTGGTCCCGTTCCCGGCAGGGTCCTGGCTTCACTAACCTCTTCAGTGTGTCTCACCCAACTCCCGGGTGCCAGGCTCTGAGGGACCTGGCCCTGGCTGTGTCTGTCCGACCACACGGGTCGTCCTCGGGGCCTCTGCAGCCCTGCCCTGCGTCCCGCTGGCGTGGCCTTTCCGTGTGACCTCGTCTCGCACCTTGACCCTTCTCTCCAGACCAGAGCATCCGGATGCCCTGGGTATTGCGGGAGAGCGACAGGGTCTGTATTCTGCTTCTGCTTCCTTGACGCAGGGTTCATATCCTTCTGTACCCATTCTTCTCTTTCCAGATAACCAAGCTGAAAATAGACAGCAACCCTTTTGCCAAAGGATTCCGGGACTCCTCCAGGCTCACGGACATCGAGAGGTAACGGGACCTGCTGCTTCCCGTACGTCCAGGTAGTGGACGGGGAGAGCGAGCTTGTCAAACGCGCCCCTTTGATGCCCAGGACCATAGCCCCTGCCCACGTCTGCAGTTCTCTGTCCCCCTCTCCTCCAGACAGAAGCCCCTTGGTACGCAGCTGCTCGGGTGCTGCAGGCTCGCTTTTAGTGAAGTGGTTTCTCTGCTCAGATGTTGACCAGCTGAAAAATAGGGCTCATTGCTCTCAAAGGCTCAGGCCTCTTGGTATTAAGCTTCGGGTCCCGGCGAGGGGTGGTCCTGAAGCACAGAGCTGTGGTGGCCTGGCCCTCCAAAGTGGGCGTGTGCTGACTCAGTGGAAGTTAGCTGGGAATTTTGAAACAAGGAGATTTAATCTAATTCAAGGTCATATTGTTTTACCTGTCGTGCAAGGCTGTCTCAGAACTTCCGGGAAGACGAGCAGTGGTCGTGCACCTGTAACTTACCCCACTTTTACTCAATTAAAGTGTTCGTGCAGTTTGAGACCACCTAGCTGATGGAAGAAAGAGTATTTCCAGCCTAAGTTCTCCTTCGCGTTTCTTAAACACCTCGACTTTCTGTATGCGCGTGCATGGCCTGGCGTCTCTATTCGCAGGGTGTACCCCAGCCCCAGCCCTCTGGTTTGCTCTGTCGGTGCGTCTTTGTGTGACCACTCTACCATCCGTGCTGTGTCTGCTCAGCCGTCACTGGCTGCGTGGCCACGTCTCCCGACCTCAAACCTACATGCCTCTGCACCTGACTGAGGGAGGGTGACGTGCAGCAGGCCTCGCCGATCCCACCTAAGCCTTTGCAACTCACGGAGCTTGGGGGTGGTCTGGCTGGGGGGACAGACCCAGAGGCTTGGTAGAGGGCAGAGAAGGCAGCGGGAGGTGCAGGTTTGAGAGAGGGAAGAGCTGGGAGAAAGAAACTTGACCTTGTAGCTCAAACTCCACTGTAAAATGCAGAGAAGAGGGCCGGTAATTCTCCAGCTGTGCGGGCAGATGAGGGGAGGCTGTGGGGCCAGCAGTATGTGTAACGGAGGAGCCACCTGCAAAGGCACTGCATCTAGGCAGGCCTGCCCCTCCCCGTTGCCCGAATCTGGTGCAGACTGGGCGCGAGCAGCCGCCGTCATCACAAGCGGGGCGTTCCTAGGCTTCGTGCAGGTGCAGGTGCGAGTGAAGGCTGACCCAGGGCAGCAGTCAGGGTTCATGGTGCAGGTCCTAGCTTCCTCTTGGATCGGGGCAAGCACGGTGTACAGGAGAACGGTCGTGGTCAGGGTCGCAGCTCTGTCTCACCGGGGGAACCGTCTGGAGAAGCCGGGTCTGGGTGGTCGCTAGCCCATTAGAAAGTGGAGAGAGCGGCCCGCTGTGGCAGCGGTTCATTCTGGGAATCAAGTGAGATAACACATATGAGGGCACGCTCGTGTGCAGATGAGCACATTCCTCACCGCGTCACACGCACATTTATTTCAGCAGTTTTCTCCATCTGCATCTACTAATCGTTTCCGTTGATTTCATCTCTGACCCAGAGATATGGAGACAGCTAGAGAGATAGCACTCTTCACAGGGTCTTCTTGGCACGGTCCCCCAGCCTCAGCCGTGCTGGGTCTTGGGCTCATGCATGCCCCACATACTCAGGGCGGTCTCTGGACAGGAAGCTGGAGCCTCCCCACGTGGTCCTGCCACCCCATGCCTCACGCCTTGCCCCTGCCCACCGTGGCCCACGGCCGACTTCTCAGGGTCTGAGCGAACTGCCTCCGGAGCAGGACTAGCCATCCCTGACCAGACAGGAGAGCCCGGTCAGCCCTTGAGAGCGGCAGATCTGCTGACGCACAGCTGTGTCTGCCATGAGTCAGCACCTGCGTGGGAGCGCTCCCCGCGTCGGGTGCTCTGAGGGCCTGGAGAGCACCCTGCGTGACTAGCTGAAGGTTTGCAAGATGACCTAAGTCGTGTGAAGTTGGCCAAGGTTTCGGATTTCATTTCCAGGTATTTAAGTCTGATTTTTCCTAAACAGCCTTTGGGGATGGGACAAATCAGATCAATTGATCTTTAGAGACCTAAAGAAATTCAATTAGCCTGGAGTCAGTTACTGCACTAACCCCTGCGGTAATTGAATTGCTCCTTGTAACTGATTGAAAACAGCCCTATCTGTAACAATACAGGGAGTTTTTCTTCATAACAGATCTGAGAGAAAAACACATCTTTTTATGACATGATGACAGATATTGCACTTTTCTAACCTAATTGGATACGATGCTATAAATACGTGGCCTTAATGATTCCGAGTTTCCTGTTCTAGATTTACAACTTACTGTATGGGGCGCCTAAACAAAGATGCCTTTAGGACTGGATTTGTTTGACTTCTCAACTTGCAGTGTCAGGGGTCTTCTAAAAGTTCATTAAAAAATGCGTGATGAAAACTTGTGCATGGAGAGTAGCCATCCCCTCTAGGGAGTTTCTCACTTTCCCTCTCTCTGTCTCTTTCCAGCAAGTACACATGCCCTATAGCAAAAACCTATTTTGTTTTTTTTAAAAGGGACCAGCCAATGGCATAATGGCTACATCACTTGACCCCCATATAGTCAACCACGGTTCAAATCCTGGACCTGGAAGCTTAAAACTCAACATTGTGTGTGTGCGTGCGTGTGCACGCATGCCCAAAATCCCGAGAGGAGAATGAAGGAGAAGGGATTGCAGCGTGGCTATACCTGCTGGGGGGTGATTTCTTGCTTTCTGTCTCTCTGGCTAGCACATTTGCCTTATAGTAAAATTCTCTCTTTAAAAGAAATAAATAATAAAGAAAGCAGTGCCAGGGAAAGGCGTGTATCTTTACACGTAGTCTTCATGGACCGATGGTGTCATGGTTATATCACTGGACTCTCATATAGTCGAGCACAGTTCAAGTCCTGGATCTGGCAGCTTGAAACTCATGCCTGGCACATGTGTGTGTGTGCCCAAAATCCCAAGAGGAGACTGGAAGAGAAGGGATTGTAGCATGGCCATCCCTCTGGGGGGGAGATTTCTTGCTTTCTGTCTCTCTGTCTCTGGTGAGTGCATGTACCCTGTAGCAAAAACTCTCTTAAAAAAAAAATTCTGGAAAATGATCCTAAATGTTTCATAGTAGGAGATATTTAATAGTAGGAGAATCCTTTAAACTTTTTAGTCATGAAATGGGATTTTTAAATCACAATGGAATATATACAACAGAAAGTACTGTGCTATCATTTGTAAATGTGTACGTCAGTGGTGGTCAGGACACTCCCGCGTCACGCACCCAGCGGCCCTGCCCAGTTCCAGGCGGTCTGCAGCGACCCTCACCAGCCCCCACGCCCTCGCCTGCCCCAGGCATCCGTTTTACTTTCTGCCTCTGGGAGTCTGCCTCGCCCGGGGGCCTCTGGACCTGACGGTGTCTATGTTTTTGAGACGCTTCGTGCATGCCGGCATGCCTCCCCCAGCAGTGTCCACAGCAGGGCCCACTTCGCTCCATGCTTGTGCCACGTGGGCATTCTCTTTCATCTTTGCCAATTTGGCAGATGAAAATTCGGGCTTTCTTTCTGGAATTGGCCTTTTTATGCCCTTATCCCATTTATGTTTGTGTTAGATTGTTCGTTTTGTCTTCTCGTTGAAATACAAAGCTATTCACGTACCTCAGTGAGTTCAAGGACCTCAGTATTCTGTCATCTGTGCATGGCGGTGTCATTCACAGTGTGCTAGTTAGCTTTTTACTTAAATTTTTGATAAATGGAAGGTTTTGGCACCAAAACTATTATTCTCTCTTTTTTCTTTTATTTTTTTAAAGATTTTTTAAATGACTTATTTATCAACTCATTTATTTATTTATTTATTTATTTATTTATTTATTTTTAATTTGACCAGAGAGAGACACAGAGAGAGAGAGGGGAAGGTGAGAAAGCAAGCCACCAGGTCCGGGACTCAAACCTTGGTCGGCCATGTGGGATTGTCCAGTGCCTTAACCACCACGCCACCTGCTGGTCCCCTCTCTTTCTTTGGGATTTCTATCCTAGAAAAACTTCTCTCACTCCAAAATTACATAAATATTCAGCTATAGAGTTTAAAATCACTTTACTGCTTTCAGGTTTTTCATTTAAGTCTTTTGACTCATACAGTATTTTGGTATAGAATATAAAATAGACGTATTATTTTATAATTTTTACAAATGGCCCCAGTGAAATATATTTCCTAATATATTCATTTTATACTTATTTATAATTCTCCATTTATCATATACAAAATTATTTGAAAAAACAATGATTTAGTTTTTAATTAATGTAACAATTGTTGCAGTATGACTTTTCAGGACATGAATATAATGTGTAATGCATAAGTCAGGGTTACTGGGACCAGCAGATGGTGTAATGGGTATGTCACTGGATTCTCATCAAGTCAACTGTGGTTCGAGTCCCAGACCTGGTAGCGTAAACCTCACACTGGGTGCATGTGCACGCGTGCCCAAAATCCCAGGAGGAGAACAGAGAAGAGGTTGTGGAATGGCCATCCCCCCATAGGGTGATGTCTCGCCTTCTCTCTTTCTCTGTCTCCCTGGTTAGCGCGTACACCTTATAACAAAAATCTCTCTCCAAAAAAGGAAAGAAAACAAGTCAGGGTAATTAATAGCCCATCATCAGAGTCATTTGTACCTTCATGCAGTGAGTTGTCAGTTATCACCACTTCTCTCCATTGTGTTTGACACCGGGAGGCCGTTCCTTCCAGCTAGCTGCAACTTTGTTTCCACTAACCAGTACCCTATCTCCCCCTTCCTTCCCAGCATCTGTTAGTCATTCTCTATCTCTCTGCTTCTATAATTTTTTCCAACTTTCATGCATGTGATAGTTCTTTCTGTACCTGGCTTATTTCACTTAATATAATGGCCCCTAGAGTCACCCTTTTAATACCAAATGACAAGTTCCTTCCTTTTAACGGCTGCATAATATTCCATCACACACATATGTGCACGCGCACACACTTTATTTT